ATTCCAGACATCAGAGTTGGCTGCTGGTGCCGTGGACAGGTGAGGGAGGCACCTGAGACAGGTGGCCGGGTCCATGCCCCCTCCGAATACCATCCCTGGACATCATCAGCCATCACAGCCACTGTGATTGTATGGGGTGCAATCTGTACGGGGCGCTCACGACACTAGGGGTCTGTGCTGGGGACTTTACAGACACCAGCCACCTGAGCCCCTGGGGACAGTGCGTCTGGAGGGAGCAGAGCCGTAGCCCTAGTGAGCCGCCCTCCGGGTCCAGGCCAGCTGCGGGCCGAGGGGCCGGGCGCCCTGGAGCTGTCATCACAATGGGAAGGAGCTGGCTGGACAGGCAGGGGCAGCTCAGGCCTGAAGGCGGCGGGAGGTATGTGAGCAAACCCGCCGCGTGGGAAGCCGGCAGCCCCGACGAGTGTGGGCGGCCACACGGCCCTTCCAGAGCCCGGCCTCAGTGGGCACCGTGGGCTGACCCTCCTCCCCGGCCAGGCCGCCAGGAGCCCGGCGACAGCCTGTGCCCTGCAACCTGCCCCCTGCCGCCCTCTCTCTTTCTCTTCCAGAATGCCAATCTGGCCCCTTGTGGAGCAGACCTGGATGCCAGCTGGGGCACGCGAGGTACAGGAAGCGGGGACCCCGTGGGTCTCTGGCTGGGGCAGGGGTCGCTAACAGATTTCCACGAGTTTCGTTCTGAAACCACCCCCGACCAGGGCTGCTGGCAGAAGGCTCTGAGCATCGTGGAGTCGGGGAGCCTGGGGCAGTCCTGTCCCTGCCTCTTCCGGTCAAGGATTGGTTTACCTCCATCCTAAAGTTGCCCGTGATGGTCCCTGTCCTCTCCCCTCCCTCCGGCGCTCCCACCTCCTAACTCAGAGGCTTCTCCATTTCCTGACCCAGGTGCTCACCTCTTGAGCACTGCCAACCCCACCCTGACTTACTTGTCAGTCCGGGTCACCTGGGGAGAGATCTGTGTTTGAATGTCCGTCCCACGCCAGGGCTGAGACCAACCCACACCTACTGTTAAATTCTATAGCAATAAAGGAGGCAGAGACACAGTGAAAAGCCCGCGGCATTTCTCTTTCGTATCGCGGCCGGGCCAGGTGGGAGGCAGGTTTGCCTTGCTTTATGCAGGAGGGTCCCTAACCAGGCAGGTGCACGGGGCGGGGGGTGGGGGTGGGGGGGTCCTTGTCAGTGGCCTGAGAAAATGTCTGCAAATATTGCTCTTGAAAACTCCCAAGGGGAATCATTCAGTCAAGTGGAGGAGGTGCAGGGTCACGGAGAGTCACCGGTGGGTGAGGGGCTGCCGGGCTCTGGGGCCAGTGCTGGGACTAAGCTGAGGCCTTCAGGGCACTTACCAAAGGACTCAGTAATCAAGGTAAACAAGGTAATACAATGTTTTGAAAAATCCAAATTAATGGAAAAAAATCCATGATGGACAAAGTATCGGAAACGTAAAGACCAGCTCCGACCCTCCAGTTAGGGGCTTACCCGCCTCGCCGTCTCTGGGCCTCAGTTTCCCCTGTTCAGGATGAAGGACTTTGGACTCGGTGCTTTCGGAGGCCTCGTCCTGCCCCCGCGCTCGCTAGGACTCTGACCAGCTCCTGGCTTATCACCTCTTGCAGTAAATTAGTGCTGAAAGCTCTTTCC